GGCAATGTGACTCATTTTATCTGACTCAGCCACAGAAATTGCCTTTCTCCAAACCCAGCTTTGCTCCCGCAGAAGCACAAGGAGCAGACAGCGGTCCTCCACCTCAAAAACAGAACATTTTGTCACCCTGGCACCAAACTTTGTTTCTCCAAAGATCCCACCCCAGCTTTACAGAATGGTCTGTGCTTTAATCCCCACTTGCTCACTGCACCGCAACATCGCTTCACCCCATGGCTGGTTGCCTCACTCTGTTCGCTTTCAAACAAACAGCTTCCAAAAATTACATACATCCAGAACCAGAAAATGCAACTGCTCTGCAGGGTGCCCTGGCAGCCCACTGGCAAGAAGGCAAACAGTACCAGAGAAGCTCAGGAAGTGTAAATTTGGGCTACAAATACCAGCACACAAATCCTTCCATTTAAAATACTTGAGGATCTTTGATGCCAACACACAGTAGTCCAAACCTTAAAAAATGTAGTGTACATTGCTAATAAAAAAAGATTAGGAAACAATATCAGGGCTTCTCGGCTCTTAAACAAGCATAGGATCTCCACAAAAAATAACAACTTCAGTCAAGGTTTTACAAGACAAACCTTTACAAGCAACAGAGAAGGCAGGTGTTGTGTAGGATGGGAGCTACAGACCTACAGACATACAGACCTATATAGAACAATGCATGGTGTCTGATGGCCAAGGTCCCTTGGTGAGTTATTAACATTAGAGGACATTGAATGCCCTCCCAGCACTAGCATGCAGGAGTCCAAGGACTATGTCAGAATTGCCCGGAGTTGGACTCGACGATCCTTACGGGTCCCTTCCAACTTGGGATATTCTATTCTATGATTCTGTGAAACCTGGCTCTCAGAATGGATGGATATCCCTGAATTCCATTGATGTCTTTGGGGAGAAACCCACGACTCTTCCAGATTTGTACTGCTGTTTTTGAGAACGTAGGGGGACAGAAGGAATTAACCCACATCCCTCTTCCCCTTCTCTTTTTCACCCGGGGAGCAGGCCGCATTCACAAAATACAGTAACAATCCTTATTATAAGGATAAATTCAGTGAAACTACGAGAGGAGCACAAATAGAACGAGTCACCTGGGACTGGGACTGATGACAAACACCGCTTAGCATGCTCAGAGCAAGATGTCAGCCACCAGAGCAATGGCTGCAGTACAACAACCTGACCAGAATACACCAATGCCTGAAAAGCAGAGCTCCTGGCTTGCACAGAGCAAAAGAAACGGCGTCAGAAAAATGAAGGAACGGAATGGCCACTGGGGACTTGCAACCCCGGCACAAGAACTTTGGTATTACCGTTCAATGCTTAAGCCACTGAGGAATGCCCTCCAGAGCTAACAGTTTATACAGAACGTAAATAATATAAACAGCTAAGTGCTGGAGGGTGTAGATATATACACGCAGATGTATGTATAAAAGAACGACAGAATATTTTATCTGTTTCACTCCGCACCATGAAAAGTAACACTACCACATAAATAAACAAATGTCAGCTCTTGGGAAATGCGGGGAGGCGGAAAGCACAAAAGCTTTCCTTGCCGTGTCCAGGAGAATAAATTTCTTCTCCACATGCACCCACACCCATCAGTCCAGCTCAGAAATCTGGTCCCCGCTCTCCAATTAGAAAATGCTGCTGCCAAAGATGCTTTCTCAAAAAGCAAAGTAACGCTGCCAGATTGAGCCCAAACCCTACCCCACTCCAAAGTCTCTCTTCTGCTGGTTTTAAACTGTCCGCTGGGAACAGACAATTATCAAATAATAGCATCAACAACATCAGATTATCACTTTAAGCTCTTTGATATGTTCAAGTGAACTCTGTTTCAAACCTTATCAAGTGTCAAATATTTACTCTGGAGCCCAGCTATGTAAACGACCCATCCTGTGCCACCAAACGTGGCAGGCGTGCTTGTAACAAGAGCAGAGGGATCTGCAAAGCGAGGGGAACAGCCGGGCTATTCTCACTGGAGGAAGCGTGGGGACAATCTTGCGTTCTGCAGAACAAAGAGAGCCCTGATAACCAGAACTCCCCAGAGAGCTACGACCGCCTTCATGCTTATCTGTGTGAATTTTTTTAACCTGGTGGAGCTGCAGCAAGGCAGGTGGAGCTCTACAATCCCCCCGTGGAGTCAGAGATGTGTCAAACCTCACATCCTCAGCGTGAGACTCTCACACGCTCCCGCCTTGTGCCTCGTCGTGCCAGAGCTGCACTTCCCACAGCTGAGGCTCAGAACCGTGCCACGTTCCAGGACCCCACGCGCCTCCGATCTGCCATCTGCTCTCAGCAAAAGGCCAGAAATGATAGGAATAACCATCGGTGCAAAGAAGGCTTCCACCGGATTTCCCCTTCAGAAACAACCCGCAGAGGATGGATCCTGTAGCCTCATAGATGTCCCTTCCCCATCTATTTATGGGCTCACTCTGTCTCATCCTTCCTGTTGCAAGTGCCCTCGGGATACCTGGTAGAGCACATTTCTCCTCCAGCTACAGGCAGAACAAAAGCAACATCCCACCATTTCCGGCCCATTGCTGCTCTCTGACTTTTCGAGAGGAGGAACACAATGCTGGGCTACCTGGTGGATGCCTCTCGACCATCTGAATTCATCCTATTCAGTCAAACTTAACATTTGCAAAAGTGTTCTAAGGAGTGCTGAGAACACGTGTCTTCATTACACGGAGTTGTGACTTAGAGCCAAAGCCTTTCTCTGCTCCTCAGCGAGGCAGCCCTACAAAGCAGCCGTGAGAAACTGCTGCGTGGAGCAGAGTGGGATGCGCAGTGACAGCATCAGCGCGGAGCAGCTCCATGAGCCAGCCGTTCTGCAGTGCCGAAGCGTGGCTCAGCGCCCCATCGTCACGCTGGCTGAAGTCACACACCTTGTCAGCAGGATTACTGAATGCAAGCACGTAAAATGAGGGGTGCTTCAGCAGAGCCTTCCTTCATCAAATACATGCAGAACGGCACAAGGGCTGTGCTGGCATCATCATCTGGCAAAGAGCGGGGTAACAAGCCCTCTAAGAAACAGAGGCAGCCTTTCTGGTTGCTGAAAAGATGAAAACCTGTACGTGTTTTCTTTGGGGCTGTTTCACTTAGCAGTTTCAAGCAGCTGCCTTCAGCTCTTTCATAATAATAGTAACAGATAGTAAAAAACAATAAAAAGAACAACACACAGGCCTGTTGCCTGACTTCAGAAAAAGGAGTTTTCTGGGACACACATTGTTATGCAAAAGCCTTATTGTTTTTTTCTTCCTGTAAGACAAGTGCAAAGCATTTCATTAATATGCACTGGAAAAATAAGATAACAGCCTTCTTGATTGTGACAAGGAATGCAAGGAGATGCAATCTGTACACCGGAGTCAGGTGGAAGCACCCTGGCTCCCCTTGGACACAACGTTATAGCATTGGCACTGACATCACCACCCCACTCAAGGCAGCAAAAGGGGCGAAAGTAACCACGGAGATCCCAGGTTAGGATCGGTCAGGAACTCAGAAGGACAGGTTCAAGGAAGGGAGCAGCCTATGTTGGGCTGCTCACACATCAGCCTCATGCCTCTTGGGGCTCTGAGCGCTTCATGGGTGCCCAGGACGGGCTGGGACACAGCGCAGCTCATCCTACAGCAACAGGAGATGGGGCTGAGACACATCCAGAGCAACTTCCATTTGGAAAAGGTCAGTGCGTTGTCTGCAACCTGGAGAACCCTTGTAACTCGGTGGCCGTAGGGCACCACCATGAGCTCTGCCCACCTCAGAGGTAATGAGGTTAAAGGACACACTCAGATGCTCAGCCTGTCTAATCTGAGGCATAAATGTTGACGGAGCCAACGCGAACGCAGCAGCCAAGCGCTGCCCCACTGGCACACAGCTGCCCTGGCCGCCTCCGGCTGCCCGACGCCCTGGGACGGAGCTCGGCACGGAGCTCAGACCGCGTTTTCACATCGCTGGAGTCTGGGCGTGGAGCTGCTGGGCTACAGCCCCCACAGTCCCAACTCCAGGAACGCGGGACGCCTTTCTCCAGGCCCCCACCCCTCACCCCTCGCCTCAAGCTGCGGGGCACGCCGGGCCCGGCCCCACCTTCGCGCCTCGCCCGAGGGCCGGCGGGGGCTCGGGGTCCGGGGGTCCGCCGAGAGCCACCTCCCGCCGGTAGGGGGCGCTGTGACTCACCGCCAGCAGGGCCGAGGCGCGCTGCTCCCCCGCCGGCTGCTCCCCGTTGATGCCGCCGTTGCTGAGGAGGTGCTGGTGGTAGTCCGGGGGCGCGGCGGCGGCGGCGGCGGCGGCGGCCGGGGCGGCCGCGCCGCCTCCCCCTCCTCCCGCTGTTCCCGCGGCCGCTTTGGGGTGCTTGGCGGCCTTGCGGGCTCCCTGCCCCTGCTGCACGAGGTGGAGGAGCTGCAAGGTGCTCTCCCGCTCGCGGTCGGAGCTCTCGGCGCGGCCCCGCTCGTAGCGTCCTTCGCAGCTGAGGTGGTGCTGGCGGCAGACGGCGATGCGGGCCCGCAGCCGCTCCACGATGGCGCTGTGCACGCGGGGCGCCGCCGGGCCCCCCCCCCAGCAGCCCGGCCGCCAGCCCCGCGGCCTGGGGGGGAGCCGTGTCGCCCATCGCTCGCTGCCGCTCCTCGGCCCTGCGGACGGGTCCGCTCCGCACTCACTGCCACATGGAGTCGGGGGGTGGGGGGGGTGGGGGGGGTGTAAGAGGCGGGGGCAGCGGCCCGAGTCCGGGGGAGGGCGGACGGCCCCGCGCCCCCCGCGCACCCCGCCCGGCCCCCGGCGGAGCTCGGGGCTGGAGGGAGGGAGAAGAGGGGGCCGCTACGGCTGTGCCACCATCAGGGTTGGGCAGCCCCAGCCGAGGGGCTCCGGTGGCTGAGGGCTGGGGATGGGAGTTGGGGGGGGTCCGATAGAGGAAGAAAAATAAAAATCAGAGGAGCCGCTGCCTCCAAAACGAAGCGCCGGGCGGAAGAAGGCTCCCTGGGGAAAGAGTGGGACCGGGCAGGTTTACTGATTTTATTTTATTTCGGGCGCGGGCGGGGGTTATTTCTTGAAGTGGAAATTGATGCGAGGAAAGGAACCGCCGAGCGCGGCCCGGCCCCCCCCGAGGTGTGGTTCGGAGCTCCGCCGGCTTTTCAGCGGTGAAACCCGCGGTCCGTCGTTCCGGGCTGGGATCGGTCCCGGTCTCGGTCCCGTCTTTGTGCTCTCGCTCCACCGCTCCTCTTCGAGCTGCGCCCGTCCGCCGCTGCGGGGTTCCGCGGGGTCCCGGAGCGCTGCCCGCCGCTGTGCGATCGGTTCTCGCGGCCGCTGGGTAAAGCCGAAGCGCTTTCGGTGCTTATTTCTCCCCTTAGCAATAACGAAGCGAGCTACAACCCCAGGCAAAGAACTCCTCTCGCGTACTTTCCTGTAGACTCCCAGACAGCGAACAGTTTCGAGTACAGTTTCAAGAAAAGCACTGGAGACAAAATTAAAAAAAAAAAAAAAAAAAAAAGAACCGAACCAACAAACACCGAGCCCCTCTTCTGCCAGCGATCACAAGCGGAGAGTTGCACTTACAAACTTGCAGCCTTCTGGCCCCCGAGCAGTCCGGCCGCTTTTCCTTTGTGTTTTTGTATATCCCATCCCCGGCTGCGTGCCGCGCTCCCGCCGCCTCCTCCTCCTCCTTCTCCTCCTCCGCCGCCGCCGCAGCCCGCGGCCGTGCCCCGCGGTGCGTGCGGGGCTCTCGGAGCGGGCCCTGCGGGGGCGGGGGGCGGGTGGCGCGGCGACGGCGCCGCCGGGGCCGGGGCGAGCGGCGGAGCCTCCCAGCGGCCGCGCGGGGGACCGGACCGAGGAAATCCCCTTTCGCCGTGCGCTCGCTCCGCCGTACCTGGGTGCCGGGCCGCAGGGCGGTGCGGAGAGCCGCCTGTCGCTCTCCCTCCCTCCCCCGTTGGCCGGAGCTAGCGGCGAGCGCGAGGGAGTTGTGCGATGTACCTCGTCTCTGCCGGCTGGATCGCTCTGGAACGGGCGGTAGAAAAACAAGCGGTGCCTTCTCACGCTTTGGGTCGAGGTTGGGATGGAGGAGGTGCGGCCCCGAGCGGAGTCACTTGGGTGTCCGGCACCGGGAAAGCCTCGGGCTCGGCGCTGCTCCTGCCCCTCTCCTCATTGGCACCGAGGGCGGCCGTTGAGAGGTCTGACCCTGCGGGCGGAGTTCTGGAGGTGGGCTGTGTTGGACGGGGGGGGATCTCCAGAGATCCTTTCCAACCCCTGCGGCTCTGCTTCTGTGAGGTGCAGAAATAGCTGGGCCCGGTCAGGTCTGTTAAACCAATGCACGGTTGTGCTGCCAGGTCTGTGTTGCCTGTGTTCTCACACACTGCTCTGAGAATAAAAGTGGCCTCAAGCACAAGGAGACACAGCGCTGATGCAAAACCTCAACTTGGTTCTGCAGTGCGGCCCATCAGAAAAGCTCACATGTTCCATCACAGCGTCCTGGGATCCAGGTCCTCCTGGATACAGAAGACCTGGTGCCAACCCTTCAACTTCCAAACTCACAAATCCTTTAAATGCTATTGGTGAAATGACACATTTCTTGAAATTCATTCCAAATACACAGTGCTGGGTGTATGGGGGTTATCCCCACACTGTTTGCATGACCCCCATCTCTCCAGGTGCTTTTCAGGATCTGAGTGTTTATGCAGTGCAGAGTTTGTTACCCAGCCAAAGGACAGGTTTGGGGATGTGCTATGTTCAGAGGAAGGCATTATAGCTAACAGGAAAAAAGGACTTTTTTTTGTCTAACCTTGAACAACTGAGGAAGAGTGGGTTATTATTTGATACGTAACGGTAGCATGCATCTGTTGAGAACAATGAGCTGGCAATGTTGGAAAAAAAATAAAGGGGGGGGGGGGGGGGAATTTTGTACAATAATGGACAATGTTACCTTTGCTTCGAGCCCCTCCGGGCTTTTTTTGTCACTGCTTATAGCTCAGATGTCTCTGCTGTGCAACAGTGACACAAATCCCGTGCAAAGGAAGCAGGGTTTTACATGATGCCTTGGCTGAGGTCTTCAGCGTTGCAGTGAGACTGAAATTGGTGGTGCTGCTTGGGGAGATAAGGAGCAGATGCAGGAGTCCTCGCCCACAAGCTGCTGTAGGGCTCAGAGAACCGTCTTTCAAAACAAAGATTTCTGAGTTGTAACTTTAAGATGTTTAAGATTCACTTTTCTTTGCCAAGCAGCATCTCATGTGTTTTGTGGTTTAATATAGATCGCTGGCAGAGCGAGACAGCTGCTTGCAGGGCTGCGTAGCAAGTCCAATATACAGCAAATGCTGCCCCTGCTGTCTGAGAGAAGGAAATACCCGAACCCCATCGCTCAGCCATTCAAGTTCTGACCGGGACGCTGCCGAATGTTACCAGCCCCTGGAAAGCAGTACCAGTTCTGAACGGGCTCGTTGCTTTCATAAAATCAGCTGGCTCTTAGCACCATCAGACATCATTTGTGATCGTGTCACATGCATTCTAATAGAAGCACACATGATGAAACATTAACGTAACAGATCCTGAATAATTGATTGGGGCCGCCCCCCCCCTCCCCCATCTGCCAACAATAACATGTGGCCTCTTGAAATGCTGTAGTAATCTCACGTGAACTGTCATGCTTGAGTATTTTTCTGTGTGAATTTCCTGCTGCTGTTGAAGCTCTGGGTTTCCTAAGTCAGCACCCTCTCCAAATCGGCAAAGCGCTCAATGGTGCTCACCATGGAAGTCCCACTGTGCTGATAACGTTCCAAAAAGTGAAGGAAAAGACCATCACCTATGTCAAAAATCCACGTCACTTAAAGAAATTAATTCTTGCTGAAATCTGGGCACATACTGTGTTCATCTGCGCTTAACAGTCATGTATCAAATGACTTCAGTTGTATTAACCCCACTGAAATGGCACATGCTTAGTTGTAGTGCCGCAGAGAATTCTGCAAACCAGGGCTCTCACTTTTCAGCCATTGCCACTATTTGCTTTCCAGTGAATGTTCTTTGCCATTTGGAACGACTGCAGCTACAAGCACACGTAGGCATGCTGAATATACCATACAGCTCGCCTGCAACATCACTAAGCTTCAGAGCAGAGCTCTGAACTGACTGCAGCTGGGTCAGTTTCCTTGCCCTGAAAGTTTGGACCCGAGGCTCATGTGTTATCGTGCTGTGAACTGTACAAAAGCCGTCTTCAACACACCTGGGTTTTTAATCAAGAATCTAATCCCCAGAGAAATCTAAAGAAACTGTGCCTACATCTTATAAATAGCAGGGGAAAGAAAAAAGCACACAACAAAAACACATCATCCCGTATCACCTAGAAAAGGACCACAATTCATGTAAACTAAACAGGAACATTTATGGAACGAAGAGGGTTCCTTCAACACCACTTCACATGCTCCTCATGCTATCCCTTGGCTGTTCAGTCATGTTTTCCTACATTCTTTTGTCTGGTCTCTAAATTCAGGTTAGAAATAGATATTTTTTATTTCTCAGAGCAGAATCAGCAAGCTAACTTTTTAAAGTGCACTTCATGCTGGCTGTTTCTCTTGGAGTAGCACTGTATTTGCATGCGTTTATCTAACACACCCACTCTGTTTATCCAGGAAGACTTAAAGAAGGATAAAACTACAAGCCTTTATTTATCCAAATAATAGTAAACTAGAAGAGCTAAGCATGGGAATTGCCTGTAATTCCCTGCTGAGCTACTAGAAATAGCTGCTTTTGGGAAACAGGAGATGCCTTCACCATGTTTAAGAAATACAGTATCAGCTATCTCCTGTTAGCAAAGTTTGCCATCCTGTTTGATTCACAAACGACTTTATTTCTGAAAAGAGAGGGACAAAGGGAGAAGAAACTTCATACTTCCCTGCCAGTATTGGACATAGAATACACACCTTCTCTCTTAGAAGTACATCGCGTTTGGCAGGCTGATCCTATGCATAAATATAAGGTGTGCAATTTTATCATTATCATAGTCCCAGGCCACAGAACTTCAACTAGAGCAGATGATTGAAACCCTACAGGAACTAAAGCAATTTCCAAGTATGATCATTAATCACCTGCTCCGGTTCTAATCACACACTGATCTCTCCTCATTGTTGCATTAAGACAGGCACTTTATCTTAATTAGAGCTACAACTTCAAAAACTAAAGACAATTAAAAATGCCCTATCAGAACAAACGTTATATCTTCTCACCCACTAAATTCACTCGAAGTCTCTGAAGTGGAAAATAAAGCATGAAAGATGGTGAGATCTCTGACCTCTCCCACTAGTTGTTATTTGCACAGAATTTCTCCACTATAAATATTCTTATCTCAATTGGACCTGAAAACCTTTCTTGGTAGGAGCCTTCTTTGCACTGTGTGCTATGTAGCACCGAGCAGTTACAGCTTGTCCTGCAAAATCCAAACTGAATTTTTACTTATATGGATCTTCTAAACAATTCTTCAATTTTTTTTTTTTTTTTTTTTTTTTTTTGCAAGTGAAGATGAATGTAAACATGTCATAATGATACCTCACGTTCTCTGCCTTGTAGAAGCTCTTCAGGTGAAACAGCAGCCACAAAAACATTATCACTTCCTCTAATCTTGGTGAGAAGAGCATCAAAGTCTGAGACAGTTCACATACAAACATTTTGTTAGTCCCCTGCCAAGCCATGTCATCAGTTTCCTACTGAAATAGAAATCAGTGATGTTAATTCTAGGCATTTTCTGTGTCCAACTGGTGATGTCACAGGCAAAACTCCATCAGACTGTGAGGTGCTTTTTTTCCAAGAACTTTTGCTATTTATTTAAAGAAAGAAAAGCATAAGATCTTGAAAAAAATGTCTGCAAGGCCAAGAAAGAAGTAGATAGCTCAAACTTTTCAGGCAAGCAAAGCAGAGGTGAGAAATATCATCTGGGATGCAGTAGGTATACAAGAATGCTCAAAGTACATGATCAAAGATAACCACCAGAATAATTTGTGAATTTTCATTTTCAATCAAAGTGTATGTTTTCTTCAAATATTAAGGTTACTTAGCAAGCCAAAATTTCCCAAACATACTTCTGATTTTAGTAGCATTCAATTTAATGCTACTAAACAACTTATGGGGCCTGTCCTCTTCAGTATCTTCATTGACGATCTGGATGAGGGCATCGAGTGCACTCTCAGTAAGTTTGCAGATGACACCAAGTTGGCTGGAAGTGTGGATCTGCCTGGGGGTAGCGAGGCCCTACAGAGGGATCTGGACAGGCTGGAGAGCTGGGCTGAAGCCAATGGGATGAGTTTCAACAAGGCCAAATGCCGGGTCCTGCACTTCGGCCGCAACAACCCCAGGCGACGCTACAGGCTTGGGGCGGTGTGGCTGGAGGACTGCGTAGAGGAAATGGACCTGGGGGTATTGATTGATGCTCGGCTGAACATGAGCCGACAGTGTGCCCAGGTGGCCAAGAAGGCCAATGGCATCCTGGCAAAGGGCTGATGAGGAGTGGCTGAAGGAGCTGGGATCGTTCAGTCTGGAGGAGGCTCAGGAGAGACCTCATTGCTCTCTACAACTACCTGGAGGGAGGTTGCAGTGACTGGGGGTTGGCCTCTTATCTTGTGTAACTGGTGATAGGAGGGAATAGAGGGAATGGCTTCAAACTGCACTAGGGGAGATTCAGGCTGGACGTTCAGAAATGCTACTTTTCTGAAAGAG